ACCAGCCGTTGGGGCGCTTGCGGACGCCGCGGTAGCCCGAGGAACCCGGCGGCGCGGCGGCATGGTGGCGTGGTGATGGCGCGGAAAGCGGCGAAGCGGCGAGGTGGCGAAGCGGCGGGGTTGCGAAGCGGCGAGGTTGCGAGGGAAGGGCGCGTGGTTGTGTTCTGTGCGCGTGGCGAGCGCGGAATTTTATAGACGCGCGCAAAGTGGCGCGCCAAATCTATCGCGCCGCGTGCCGCTTTCTCTCGCGTGCGCACAAACGCTTCCCGCGCGCGGTAAGTTCCTGCCACCGCTGAAGTGCGCGGAACCAGCCGGCGCGCGCTAAAACCAAAATTTACTGCACGGGCACGCCTTTTGCCGCGCCTGTTGGAGATGCTCTTAGCTCAGCCATAAGGCCGGATAGGGCCGCAAAACTACTACGCAAAACGTCGTCGAGTCCAGCCCATCCTTAGCAAGCCCACCATGTTAAAGGCCTATCTGCAAGTCTGGTCAGCAGGGCTGGAGATTTCCGCGCAGGAGGCTGCGACGACCTCATCTAAAAAATAAAAAAAATCTCAAAAAGAAAAAACGGCGACGACCAACCGACGACCCCTTCTCGTCAGCCGCCCCCTGTCGGCCGCCGGCGAACCACGCCAGCCGACCTGGTAAGCTCCCAGAGACGAACCTCTCGTGCTAATGAATCTGTTACGCTCTCAGTTGATCTAGTACAGTAGTGTTCCCAGAATTACACAAACGTGATGTAGCTAGGGTTCTAAAGGAGGAAGGAGTCAGGGAAAGGGGAAAGAAGCCGCCGCCGCCGAGAGAGCCAACTCGATCCTTCCTGCCGTCCTCCAGTGACCCGCTCCGATAAGTAGACTAGGTCACCCACTTGTGGGCTGGGTAGCGCTCGCTGGGCCTTCTCACCCTCTTGTCTGGTTCCTGGGCCTTGTCCTTCACGGGGCTCGTCGTAGCGGTAGTAGGGTGGGCCGTAACATCCCCCCCATCTTGAGAAACAGCTTGTCCCCAAGCTGGAGCGTCGGGGTAGTGTCGATGCAGCTCGTCGCGATCCTCCCAGGTTGCCAATGAGGCTGGCTGATCAGTTCACCTCACCAGCACTTGCTGAACTGAGGTCGTGCCTCGTCGCCGTTGCTGGCTGGCCAGGATCTCCACAGGCTCCGGGCTTGGCGCGGCCGCCATGGGCAGGTCATCGATGACCTTCTCTGTTGGTGGCAAGGCGCGCCGTAGTTGAGAGACGTGGAAGACGGGGTGTATGGAGCACTTGTCCGGAAGCTGGAGCTTGTATGCCACCGAACCCACTCGCTGAATAACCTGAAAAGGACCAAAGTATTTGAACGACAGCTTCTGGTTAGTTCTGGTGGCCAGGGAGCGTTGTAAGTAGGGCTGGATCTTGAGGAACACCCAGTCGCCCACTTCAAACACTCGGTCCGATCGCCGCTTGTCCGCAGATTCTTTCATTTGCTGCTGCGCACGAAGCAGATGTTGCCGCAGCAACGCCTCCACCTGGGCTCGATCCTGGAGCCAATCCTGAAGGTCCGGTGCAGCGCATGCCAGTGGGTCCAGAAGACCAAAATGCCGAGGGCCGTGACCGTATAGAGCCTCAAACGGAGAAGTTCCCAATGCTGAATGCGGCGAGGTGTTATACCAGAACTCTGCGAGGGCCAACCATGCAGACCACTTGGACGGGCATGCGTGCACAAAACAGCGTAAGTAGGTCTCCAGGCATTGGTTTACTCGCTCGGATTGTCCGTCCGTCTGTGGGTGTCGCGCCGTGCTCATGCGCAGTTCCGTGTGAGTCAACCTGAACAGCTCCTTCCACATGGTGCTGGTGAAAATGGGGTCTCGATCCGAGACGATAGCCTCTGGCAACCCGTGCAGCTTGTATATGTTGTTGATGAAAGCAAGGGCAACTTGAAACGCCGTGAAGGGGTGCGTCAATGGGATGAAATGTGCGTACCGTGAGAACTTGTCCACTACCACCATGATGCTATTGTATCGCGATGACTGCGGCAGTCCTTCGACGAAATCCATGGTGATAAGCTCCCAAGCTTGCTTGGGCACAGGCAGGGGTTCCAGCAGTCCTGGGTAACGGACTCGTTCCGGCTTCGCCTGCTTGCAAACCTGACATGCCTCCACCAGCAGCTTCACGTGTTGCTTCATGCCCGGCCAAGTGAACAGCCGGCGAACTCGACGGTAGGTGGCATTGAACCCTGAGTGACCGCCGATCGCGCCGGAGTGCAAGGCTGTCAAGACTTGTTTCTACAGGGGCACGTTGTTTCCGAGCCACACGCGCCCATTGTGTTTGATGATGCCGTCCTGCAGGAGGAATTCGTCATGGCCGTTGGGTTCTGTAGCCAGTCGTGCAAGCAATTTTTGAGCTGCGGGGTCATTGTTGTACCCTTGCTGCACTGCTTCAAGCCAGATTGGCACTGCCACTGTAACGGTGGCCAGGTCCCCTTGCAGTGGCCCAGGTCGACGTGACAGAGCATCTGCCACTCGATTGTCTTCTCCCCGTTTGTACACAATTCTGTAGCGCAAACCCAACAGCTTTGCCATAATCTTCTGCTGCCATGGTGTTGCCAAGCGCTGATCTTCGAGATGTACCAGGCTGCGTTGGTCGGTATGGATCACAAATTCATCACTCTGCAGATAGATACGCCATTGCTCGACTGCCATAAGGATAGCTAAGCCTTCCTTTTCATAGGTGGAGAAGGCACGGTTCTTGGGGCCTAATGCCTTGCTGAGAAATGCCACTGGGTGGTTGCCCTGACGCAACACTGCTCCAATGCCCCGGTCTGAGGCATCCGTTTCAAGCTCGAATGGCTTTGAGAAGTCTGGCAGGGCCAACACCGGAGTCGTGACGAGCGCAGTCTTGAGTTCTTGGAATGCTGCGGCTTCGAGCTCAGTCCATCGGAAGACAGAATTCTTCTTTAGCAGATCCGTGAGTGGCCGGCTAATGATGCCAAAGTTTTTAACAAACTTGCGGTAGTAGCCTGCTAACCCAAGGAACCCACGCACCTCTTTGACATTCGTCGGGGTTGGCCATTTCTGAACTGCAGCCACATTTTTGCCGTCTGTCCTTACTCCTTCTTCGCTGATCTCGTGACCTAGATATGTGAGATTGGTTCTGGCAAATGAACACTTGCTTAATTTGATCTTCAGTTGATGTTCGTTAAGTAGCTGGAACACTTGCCGCATGAGCTGGATGTGTCGTTCCAAGGTGGCGCTATGGATCAGGATGTCGTCAATGAAAACCAAGACTCCTTTTCGGTTGACCGGTGCCAAAACAATGTTCATTCCTCCTTGAAAGGTCGCTGGACCGCCGGTTAGTCCATAGGAAAGAACCCGGAACTCGAAATGGCCGTGGTGCGTCTTGAAGGCGGTTTTGTGCTCGTCCTCGGGCTTCATACGGATTTGATGGTACCCCGACCGCAGGTCTAAAGTGGTGAAAAACTTGGAACCGCCAGTTCATCCAAAAGTTCATCAATCACTGGAAGAGGGAACCGATTCTTAACTGCCACTGCGTTGAGGTGCCGGTAATCGACGCAGAAACGCCATGTCAGATCCTTTTTCTACACTAACAGAACTGGCGATGCAAACGGACTTGTGCTGGGTATGATGATTCCTTGCGCCAACATGTCTGCCACTTGCCTTTCAATCTCATCCTTCTACGCTGGACTGTAACGATACAGTCGGATGTTGACCGGGCGTGCTCCAGGCAGCAGGGGTATAGTGTGATCGAAAGCGCGTCGTGGTGGCAGGCCACTCGGCTCAGCAAAAAGGTGTTTGTACTCTTGCAGAAGGTCGGAAATAGCCGGAGGAACTGGCAGTTCTGTGGCCTTGATCTCTTCCGTTCCCATGGCACACAAGTGCACCACTCGCGCGACCCCGGCGCGCTGCAGCAGCGCGTCCAACTCCTTGCTAGAAAGTTGTTGGCACTGAGTGGTATCCGCTCGAGCCCCCTGCAAGTGTATCCGCTCCCCGGCATAATGAAAACTCATGGTCTTCTCCTTCCAGTGCACTTTCATCGGACTGTGCTGCTCCAACCAGTCGATCCCCAGAATGATATCATAACTGCCCAGGGGAAGTACTCGTAGGTTGGTGGTGAAGGTAACCCCTTGGGTATGCCATTGACAGTCTGATAGCTCCTTGTCGCTGCGCATTACACCTCCATTTGCCACTCGCACCGTTAGGGCGCTCCGAGCCTGCTGCACCCCTTGCAAACGATCTGCCATAGCCTCACTGACGAAGCTGTGAGAGGAGCCGGAGTCCACCAACATGAGTACCTCGCGGTCCTGAACCCACCCATGGAGTCTCATGGTAGTGGGGGATTCAGCGCCCTCCATTGCCTCCTTGGATATGACACAACAGTCCACGTCGTGTTCACTCGACGTGGCTTCGCCGGACGCTTCTTCACCACTGGGAATGGGTTCGCTGCGCATCATGTCCAATAGTTCTTCCACCACGTGAAGCTGCACTGTCGGTCCGCAGCGATGCTTGCGCCCCCACCGCTCGCCGCAGGTGAAGCAGAGACCGCGCGCACGGCGGTACGCTCGCAGCGTCGCCATCTTGTCCTCAGGTGGTGGTAGGTGTGCCGCCTCCACGGCACGGCGATCTGTACTGCGCGCTTCCGACGTGACTGCCTGCTTGGGTGGCGCGGTGGTCGGTGGCGGTGGAAGGGGCAGCGCCGTCCGGGGCACCGCGCGCGACGTAGCGGGCGCTGAGTAGCGTCGCTCCTCCCGTTTGTCCTCGCGGCGCATCGCCTCCAGCACTTCTTCCTGCAAACATGCAAGGTCGACGGCAGTATCGAGAGATTTTGGTCGATGTAAAACAACCGCTGCCCGGATTTCTTTTTGTAACCCATCTATGAAATGCGTGACAAAGTATGATGGCTCCCAGGACTCATGGTGAGCTGTAAGATTATGCATGAACTGGGTAAACTTTTCGGCGTACTCTGCCACAGATCCGCTCTGCCGCAGCCGGTTAAACTGACGCAAGAGGGACTAAAATTCCTCACGCCCGAACTGCACACAGACCGCTTCAGCAAAGGTGCCCCAATCAGTGTAAATCAGGTGAGCCTTGGTAGATTGCAACCAAGATAAAGCTCCGTCGATGAAGTACATCGCGGCGCAGCTCACCCATGCATCCGGACTAAGGGTACACACTCTGAAATATGCCTCGCATTTCAGCCGCCAAGCTCGGGGAGCATCCCCGTCGAACAGCGGAAAATCGAAACGTGGTGGTGGTGGAAATCTATGATAGTTGCGCTCCCCACAGAATGAACCCTCCCCGAGCAGAGACTGGAAATTGTGCATACCGGTGACCGGAGGCGCCCTCGGGGTGTGCTCCCCCGGTGACATCCCCCGGTGGATTGTTGTCCTGCCGTGGCCAATTGGCCCGTGGCCGTCGCCACCCGAAGCTGGTAGTGGCTCCTCCACCCGCTGGAAGGGCTCGTCCGCCACCTGACCTGGAATTGGTGGCAGATCCCCCAGTCGGATCGGTGGTGGTCGAAGGAGCAGGGGCGCCTGTTGCTGTGACGGCGCCTGCGAGGATCCTGTTGGCGGAGGGGCGCGCAACGGCGCGGCTGGATCCGCCGCCTTGCCCTTGTCCCACAGTTGCGCGCGCAGATCGCCCACCTCTGCTCGCAGATCCTTGACCGATTGCTCGATCGTTGGCCTCCACCCTTGGAACTCGAGGACGACTGGATGGATCTCGTCGATCTTCGCCGTCATCGCCGCGATAGCCGCCGTCAGATCGGCCAGCGCCTTGCCATGCTCTTCCATGGTGGTGGCCTTGCCGCGTCTCGTCTGGATGATCGAGGGAAAACGCCCCGCCAGGTTCGATCGATTGGTGGGTGGAGGAAGAAGGCTCTGATTACCAAATGTTACGCTCTCAGTTGATCTAGTACAGTAGTGTTCCCAGAATTACACAAACGTGATGTAGCTAGGGTTCTAAAGGAGGAAGGAGTCAGGGAAAGGGGAAAGAAGCCGCCGCCGCCGAGAGAGCCAACTCGATCCTTCCTGCCGTCCTCCAGTGACCCGCTCCGATAAGTAGACTAGGTCACCCACTTGTGGGCTGGGTAGCGCTCGCTGGGCCTTCTCACCCTCTTGTCTGGTTCCTGGGCCTTGTCCTTCGCGGGGCTCGTCGTAGCGGTAGTAGGGTGGGCCGTAACAGAATCTCGCGTAGCCCGCCCTTTTTTGTGGAGTTACCTCCCGCGATCAGTGCTATAGGCAGTAGTAGAAATTGCCAGTGAGATTCCCCTGATGCCGCCGTGCCGAATGACTCTGTAGAGCAATTTTTGAGTAAATTTCTCTGTTGCGCGTCCTGCCTGTATCAGGGCGATCATTGTGTTTTTGGTGTGGAGGGGGGAGCAGCAACCGGCGATTGCTCGGGCAATTCGATCAGGTGCTCTCGTACCGTTGCCATCAACACAGGTCTCCCTGCCCAATACAGTAGGTCGCTTGTGTTGTGTGTCCCAGGCTGCTGGTCCCTGTGTGAGTTGAGCGAGCCTCACATGTGCGGGCTTCGCAATCGGTCGGCTCGCTTCGGGTTAGAGATTGGTCACATGGTGGATGCTAGGGCTTTGTGATCATCATGAAATGAGATTTGATTTGTCCATCAGGGTTCGCGTCAAGCAAGTGATTGTTCTGTACAACATTGATGATAGTATGATGCTTGTTTGCTTAACGTGCTATGTCCAAGCCAATGTAAACAGCAGGAGAGATGTGTCTTTGGACCTGCTAATAAGTGACCACCCTTGATCCCTGTACAGTTCAACACGGTTAGTTGTGCCTGGTCTTTCTTCTTTCCATGGTGCAGGTATTGCGTGCGCTTTTTTAGTTAGTTTTTAAACGGGATGCTAGCTAATTCAGCGTTATTATTGCATTCCCCTTGCTAGAAGCGCACAAAATACTTGATTGTTACACCCTCTGTTCCCAGATGTAGGACATTCTGGCAGTTCAAAATACTTGATTGTTACAGAGGTAGTACATGATTGACAACCTCATGTTGAGATTGTTACATGTGAACAATGATGACCAATTAGCTGGAGCCTGGAGATAGTCTAATCATAAATGATTGCGCAGCTAGTAGCTGTTGTAATTTTCCTCGTGCTATGAATCTTGTTGACAACATGGTAGTATTATTAAAAGAATTACCATATGTTGTATCCTAGCTAAAACCTGGTTTATATCAGTGTTCTGCCTGTTTATATGACTATCATCTACAGGATGTAGAATATAGTGTGCCCAATCAAAGCAATGTTCATATCGCAAGGCAAAAAAAAACGAGGTTCAGATATAATCTTGCAGCAAAGATGGCATCTGGTCATGTTGCAGACAAGGCGATCTACAAGACTAAATGCTCCCAACTTTTGCCAACTTGCCCTCTTATTGTGCATGATGATGTCAAACTAATTTACTGCAACATAAATGCAAGTTTACTATCGACATGTTATGTGTTGGGAGCTTGGGATGCATATGATGCAAGGGATACATGATTCATAACTGACGGTTGTTTTGCAATGATCTTGTGTACTCATTTCTACTTGTCCTTTGTTCATGCGGTGCATCTATTGACAACTTGACGTCCAAACAATCATTCGTAGTGATGAGCAAGTCTTTTATAGAATGGGCAGGTGTCAGGTACAGATTTTTGTGTGGCTTCTTCTTGGGCTGCTCGGATCAGATGGTCCCTGACTGAACTCTTAAATATGCTCATGTGGTATTTTCTTGGGATTGTATGTAGGCTAAAACCATGGCCCGTGAAAGCAGGAGGTCCCACAAACACGTAATAATACTCACATGTGTGTCATCTTATGTCAAAGCAAAGAAGTGTTTTTTCACTCTGCTCGGAAAAACCAAATCCATGTTTTCTGGACCGAAGTGTGAAAAATACCAAGCAAACTCAGACTGACACCAGCAACCAACCTGTGTAAACGTCATTGAGGACATAGATTTTTCTTTCTGTATATATACTGGAATATATGACTCGCTTAACACATAACAAGCTCTTGCAAGTCCAGAGTCTTCCCTGTGCTAGTGTCACAGTGACGGTTTGTAGGAGGGCTCAGGTCGTCAGGTGTATGTTTGGTGGTACAACTGTACAAGGAAACAACTCCGCAGGATGGTGTGTTGATGTGATCGAGGAAGAGTCGATATGTATATGTTCTGTCAAATAGCTCCTGGATTCTTGGATATGTGCGACAAAACAAGGTCATGATAGATAGGTGAGCAATGCGTGATACTTCTTGCATGTGCAGCGCAAGGATGTTGGCCAAGCTACTGTGTACACCTCATACTCTGTTTTTTATCTCTCATTTAAGTTGTATCAGAATTTGGTGGCTAGTGGGGAAATTTGACAGTCTAATGTTCTCGTATATAAATTCTGCTAACTCTAGCATAATGGCAGAATTATATTATGTTCTTGCATCGCAGAAAGTATCATATTTTCTCCTTATTGTTATGCTATCCTGAATGTTAGTATGTAATACTTACTGATATTGCTGAACGGTATATGTATCATATCACTAAAGTAATAGCTTGGCCCTTTTCTACTAGAACCAATCATGTTTCCTTTTCAATGTTGCCAAATTGCTTAATAATGGTCCTCAGATGGTCAGCCTATTGTATGTTTTTTTTGCGGGTTATTATATGTTGATGGTCAGAAACACTTGAAATCATTGCACTTTTCAGTGGAGATTATATGTTCTCTTTTGCTCATTGGCCAGTCACTCGAGATTATATCTCTCTTTTACTCATTGGCAGATTAATATGCATGATGACTGAAGTGTGGCGACTGATTCCCTTGCGGATGCTCGATGTGAAGGCAGAGTAATCTGTTATGCTGGAGGTCAGTACATTCGATGCTTGTGGTTGCTTTACTTGAATTTTGAAATTTGAGTCACCTCCATTAGTCAACTTAGCAATCGAAGCCAGAATTCAAGGTAGCATCGTGCACTAGAGCTGATACATTGCCATGAAACGAGCTGTAAATGACATTACCCAGGACTGGAAAGGAAGAAGCTGGTCCAATGCCACAGCCATGTAGCGCGCACATTGACCCAACCATCTTTATATACTCCTAGTTGATCTGATCTATCTATCCATTCAGAAGGAGGAGGACTCTGCTACATGACAGTACTAGGCATGCAGTTCCATAGCTAAAACGAAGCAAACATTCCCAACATTCAGAGCTAGACCCTCTAGCGGTTACAAATGCAAATCCTACATGATGGCATGGCATGGTAGTAGAGTACCAAGGAGAACATATCCAGTACCAGTACGTACTATCTAATGGGTGAAAGCAAGCACTGGATATGTTCTCCAGCACCCGAGCAAGCAAGCTGCTTCAGTTTGCGACAGTCTTCTTGGACTTGGGCGTCGCCTTGTCGTGGACGGCGTGTGCCGGTGGAGCCGCGTTGAGGTCAGGGAGGGGCGCACGAGCGCCAGCAGCGGCGTTGCCGATGGGCTTGCCGGCCGCTGTCTTGGCGAGGCGGTGCTTGAGCTCGGTGAGCAGGGCCTGGTTCTCCTGGTTCAGCAGCTGGGCCTTCTTGCGCAGCCGTTCGTTCTCCTTGAGGATGTAGCAGTTCTGCATGTACAGCTTGGCGTTGAGCCTGTCCATCCCGCCTGGCGCCTGCCACCAAAAAAAAAGCAACAGGGTAAGGAAATCGGCAGCCATATGTGGGGGGCCCTGTTTCAGAACTTGGTTACAATACTCGTTTTTTATCCTGCTCTGCTTCACGCGACTCGTATTAACTTGTATGTGTCCTACTATGAGTGCAGGAAAAGAAGAAATGGAAGCAGAAACAGTGAAGTGTGTTGTGGTCGTGTGCCAGCAAAAATGCCAGGATACTCAGGGGATGTCCCTGCTGTGGCAACATTCTTAGAGGTAAGAAGAAGAAGAAGAATGGAACACTAGCAGCAGAGTGTAGCATGGAGACCCTGAAGGTTCCTTCTGTAAACAAGATAAAGAAATGGGAGGGTCACTCGTTCTAAACAAATTATGATGGATGTAAACACATGTTAACGCCATTGCAACTGCTAACAGAATATATTAGTAGTACTAGCAACTTGCAAAGATGTCGAGACTCAAGACATAAACAAATCAAAGGCATGGGAGGGGATGCAGCAGATTGCATGCAACTAGGGAGTACGAGTATAAACGAACAAAAAGGGAAGCAAGCACCCAACTCAATGTTACAACACCACTAGGAAAGGGGAACTGCAATTGGCACACATGATTGTGCATGCATGCATGCATGCAAAAGCACATCGAGCAGAGGCGAGGCTGAAGGGATTACCTTGTTGGAGGTGCTAGAGAGCAGAGGAACTCGGCAAGCAAAGGCAGAGTCGGAGTGCGATGGGCGGCCTGGGCAGGAAGGGAGGCAGAAGGGATGGAGAGGATCAAGTCGATCTCCTCTGCTGTATGTGTGATGTGCTCCTTCTATGGGGTGGTGGGACGGTATTTATAGGCTCACGATCTCGTTTCATACCAGTTCATCGTAGGTGGAGTGCAGCTAGGCTAGCTCATCCTTCCTTCCTTCCCTTTTTCCCTCCAGGATCGATCAAAAACCTCGAGCGGTGTGGCTGACAGGCGGGCCCGCCGGCATGGGCCGTGGTCCACGTGCTAGCGTTCGCACGTACGTACGAATGGGAGGCTCTCATGAGGCCTTTGAACGGGAGCGGCAGAGGGGTGTCTCGTGCATGCTCGTAAGGAGACGATCCAATCGATGACGATGCGGCAGAGGCTTAAATGCCGCCTAATCATGAGGTTGGCCTTGGCCTCCCTCACGTGCCGCATTTTCTTCTTTCTTCTTCCAGTTTTGCTAGAACTCATCCAGATAAAATATAATTTGGTCTTATTCATCTTTCATAGCCATTGAATGTGATGCTATAAGATGCGTATGTGTTGACGTGGGTTGTTTTTGTTCTTGATTTTCAGGTGAATGACACCAAATTATATCTCATTTAAATGAGTTCTAGGTACTCCCTTCTTCTTCTTCCCTTCCTTGTGTACGCGCCGGTGCAGCCGTTCCCGCGCCAGATTTGTTTATGGACGGATGGATGACTAATCCGCGCATTGCCATGGCCTGTGTGAGTGAGAGAACCATTGTACTGTGATGAGTAATCTAAAGCACGATTAACACAAAGCGTGCATCTTCTAACCAACGACCAATGTGCATGGGCATGGCTTCTTGTGCACTGTAAACTGTTCCCTTGCACACTTTGTTCTACTACTATTATATTTATACTACACGAGGCAGAGAGAGAGGGGCACTGTAATTTTGTGACAGTGGTTTAGGTGGCCAACCCAAACCAAATATGGTCAGCGAGCGAGCGCAAGTGTGCAAGAGCAAGAGAGAGGTACTAGTAGGAGGATACGACGATGGGAGGGGGCTTCAAATGATGATGATGATGGGCCTCGGCCGGCCCAAGATTCGTAATGATGGCTCGTCTCCGGGTCCTCGCTCATCATCACGCTCCATCCCTGTTCCTATATTCCTCGCCCTTTTGTTTCCTTCCATCTCCCCTCTTTTTTTTCTTCTTCTTTTATTGTTACTGCACCCTCTTCCCTTCCTTGAATACCAGCCTCGGGTGGGGTGATGATGATCCCCTCTTCCCTCAATTGAATGCATCACAATTGTGCCACACACACACACCTCCTCCTCGCTCCTTTTCTTTTGTACTACACCGTGCATCTTTTTCTTTGTGGCCCATCTCGCCTCTAGCTTTTCGCGAGCCTTTTGCTGAATGTGATTGTTGCAAGCAACAGAATCTCGGAAGGAAAATGCACATGTTAGCAGAGATGAGATGATCTAGGGCCGGAAAAGTGGAGGCACGAAAGGTAAAGGAGGTAATCATCACTGCTGGCCAGCCTGGATTCACTCTCTAGGCTGTGTATGTACTCCTTCCTACATGATACGAGACCAAATTTTGTGGAGCTAAGACACCCCTATCCTAATGATTAAACAAAACACCCTGCACGCTTGGCCTTGGCCGATTTTTTATATATTTTTTATTTTTTAAAAAGGAGGATAGACCCCCGGTCTTTGCATCTGGACGATGCATGCGGCCATCTTATTAATTAATCACAGAGGTCATATAAAGTAATACATTAGTTAGTCTGAAGCCACCATCTAGGCAACACCTGTTGCTACTCCTATCCCATTGACGAAGGTATGCCGAATATTTGGGCATAATACCAAACGGACATCGCGCCAAACCCTAACATGTAAAGTCGGGTGCCTCAACCCAGCCACACACGGGATTGGGTCCCATACCGGACCGACGCACTCTCAGATGTTGCCGCCGTCATTTTCCACCGGTCCATCTTCAGAGTAGAAACTAACCCATCAACCTTGCCTGGCCTGCCGTCGGCGCCACCACGACGCTAGACAACTCCACCATCCTGTACGTATCCGTCCACACGCGCCCGTCGTCGAACCTCCGCAGCACCATGCCACCACGATCCGCCGTTGGCCTTGCGGTGGATGAGACACCGCTCTTCCGCTTGCCCCGTCCAACTAGCACTTGTTCCAAAAACGATGCCCTCAGGAGGGACAACGACATCAAAGGTACCATTACCGTCCGATCTGGTAGATCCAGATCTACGGTTTCTCCCGGAGCATCACGACCTGCAACAACGATGCCCCGATAAGGGAACGACGTTATACACCCGCCATCGTCTGCCACGACTGAAGTCGGCGCGATTTTCACCGGAAGTGCCCCCCCCCAACCTCGCAGCTGGCTGGAACCGAACGGAGCCTCGTCGTGGAGACGAGGGCCGCCGTCGGCACGCACGACAGGAACTTCCAGCCGCCCCTCACCGGTCCTTCTCGCGCCACCGGCCGGCGAACGTCGTATCGAGACGGATCTGAACAGGACGCCAGATCCGCAGCCATCGGCGCCACCCATGCGCCCGTGGCCGCCACACCACCAGCCATGTAGGTCCCCATCGCCGCCGCACAATAAGAGTGCCGCCCTGACTGCCGCCCCGGCATCCCCATGTGAG